GCCTCGACACTATTGTCCCATTAGTCTCTTATACTGTATCACAATATTGCATACTTCATTATGATTTTAAAATTATTTTTAAAATGATTTTTGCACTTAATGCAAGATATTTTTGCTTGAAATAAGTTTTAAAAAAATTGCCAATGGAACAAATAAAAATTCTCCAGATCCAAGATGCACTGTCTAAAAACAAGTTCCCATATCTCACTGAAATGTTACTCTGTAGCTGATTGTGTCTCATTTTAAGTGTGATGAAATATTTTGACTAAAAATGAGACAAATGTACTTGATAAGATTTTGAGTTTTGCAGTGCACTGTGTTGGAGACAGACTGATTTTATGAAAGAGTTCAGCTGGAAGTATACTCATGGTCTCAGTCTTGCTGCCGTTTGAGACAAAGTAATTGTTACTGAGCCAATTACCCGAACCCAACTGACTTTCTACAATTTTTTTCCTAATAATTTACTAACAAATGGCAATTTTGAAATAGGCTGATAATTATCAATTGAGCTGGCATCAAGATTAGTTTTCTTTAGTAGAGGAGTTACCTCAGCATGTTTAAATCACAAGCTTGCCTCCATGAGCTATTAATAATAGACAGCAATGTAGAATCAATGTTGGCGAGAGTCCCAGATAGGACAGAAGGAGGTAACATGTTCAAAGAGGGTTTCACCTCAGTGCCCTGAGTCGTAATTGATAAACGACTCAGGGCACTGAGGCCCATCTTCATAAGGGGAGGAACCTTTTAGACCTCAAGTCCATAATCTTTACTTACAGTGTGATTAAGAAATATGTTACAGTCTTGATCAGAAACTAATACAGTTGGTCAGTCAATGCTGAACACAACTGGTTCCTTATACCCTGGTTCCTACCTTGGATATGGATATTTCTCCACAGTGAGTTTAAGACTTTCTTTAGTACACATCTCCAACTTCTCAAAAGTAGGGTTACTAACAAAATCATCTAAACTGATCCAAACTAGGCTAATTTAAAAGCAATGTCCAAACTGCAGAGTGTGACTAACGGATGCTACTAAGGAGCTGTTAAAATGCCTCAGTGACCTCAGTCCTTGTGATGGTCAAGTTGTGCCCTTGTCCACAGACCTTTCTTCCTCAATGTCATAGGAATTGAAGTATTCCTTTGAATGCATAACTATATCCTCAGTCAGCGGCACCCCATCCCCACTATACACAGTGCTACTGGATCACTTATGGTTTGTCAGAATTGCTTCATGGCCAACTGAAAGGCTTAGTCCAAGGCTCCACTAGGCCTGCCCGTACCTATTTGTTGCACGGACTAGCTCAAGCTTCTTTTTCATGAGAGAAGTGACATTCCATGTCCCAGGAGCTATTTCCAATGGTAGAAATTGAATTCTAGGGCCTCCACATTTGGGTGCTGGCCACATTGCACCCGATCTCTATGACACCTTCTGCAGGTGATGAGCTCACAACAGGATGGGCCAATGTTACTTCTTCTGGCTGCATCTGAGTGGGCCCTTTGGCTCAGGCGCAATCCATCGAGCCGCCTCAACATGCCTGAATCCAGGATGTTTCTATATTTTGATGATTTCTGAGAAATCATCAAAATATAGCATTTCAAATTATTACAGTAATTCCTAAGATGATTCAAAAATGATTTACAGTATTTACAGTACAGAAATGTCCAGCTTTTGAAAATTACATTAATTTGTAAACCCAATACTCAATAACTCTTTATCGTATAAAATGTAGTGTGGTGTGGAGGCATCACATCATGGCATTGCTGAGGCAATACTGTAGCTCAGGTTACTTTGCTGACTTTTTGTGACTTAGTTGACTTGTAGAAGCTGTAAGCAACTGTCAGCAGCAGTCTTTCAGTGATTCTGGTTGTGTGTCTTGAAATAGACAGGTACATGCTGTTTATACTTTTTGAATATTAATGTAACAAAACTTGAAATACTGTTACGAAATTTTCAGCAGTAGGCCAAGTTTATCAGAGTTAAATTAGAAAAATCCTTAATCAAATGAAACATTGTAGCTTCCATGTACTAGAATATTTTTATATATATGTTTTTTTTTTTAATTATTTTTTTTTACTTTCTGAAATAGCCGATGGATGATGGACTGTTTTACAATATTCTGTTTGTTTGTTTTTTGCATGTGACTCTGTTGTGGGCAGTAAATAACTGTGATATTTCTGGCAGAAAATATGTATTATGTCATGAATGACACCATTTCTTTGAAAATAGAAATTAAAGGGAAAGAGTGTTTAGCAATCTCTTGCTCACAATTTGTGCGCTCATGAACTTTCCCGGGAGTTACCGTTTAATGTTCTGCTCAGTCATTTGGTAGAGCACATTTTGAGTCCCTGTGTTTTTCTGAAACATGCACTGAAATTAACTTAAGCTGTTTCAGCAATTTCTACCACTTGGTTTTGATCTGTTATTGTCAAAAGATCCATCCATCCATCCATCCATTCGCTTCCGCTTATCCGTCAAAAAATCCACTGGATGTCAATCTGCCTTTAAGTGGTAGACCTCATCTATTAGCTTCCTTACAGGAAGTTAAACAGCAACAAAGGGACGCTAGAAATGTGTGGACTCTGTTTGGTCTTTTGTTTTTTTAGAAAGAAATAAAAACTCTTCTGATCATTTATTGGTATTTATATTATACGTTTATTTCTACTATGAAATTAATACTAGAATTATTTCATAAGTATGCTTAAAAGCTTTATATTTTTGCCATCTAAAAACATGTTCAACCAAATAATTAAATTGTCATTTAGGTGCACAGGTGGCAATGCTGAGATGATCAACTTATAATGCTGAAGAAATTTTTAAAATCTGAAAATTTACTGTTCATCACATTTAATCCTATTTGATCTAATACTTGAGGAAAAATATATGTTAAATGTCTAGAGAAAAATATGCAGATGTATTTCCATTGTGGGTAATTCTAGTGCCTGGCATATATTAGTGCACTGACATGTTACAAATTTATTAACACTGCATGGCATATCATTTTTGGTTTTTATTTTATCCTAACAAATAGATAGGATAGGATAAGACCATGCAGTCTGATGTCTGTGGGATCATGCCTCTTTTGACTGTTAAACTAGAGCAAAGAGAAAGATATCCATACATTGCTGATGGCTGATTTGTGCCTAAAGTCGACATATAGCAGGTACTGATCTTTCTGACATGCTAGTACACATGTACAAGATACCAGCATGGTCAAGATATATCTGTCCATCCTTCCACTTATCAATGTTTGGATACATCTTTGACCTGTGCACCAAATACAGCTAAGTTGTCTGTAAGGGAGACTATGTCCTATTGAGCAAGAAACCAATATCTCTTAAAAGGATTTGATTGCAGTGAACCACAATTTGAAGCAAATCAACATGACAGCATCTAGAACTGACCAACCCTCATCCTCCTCTAGACACATTGATACATCGCCAGACCCTCACAACCACTATCAAATGTGTGTTAGCACAAGTGCAGACATTTGCCATGTCGATGTGACAAACTGGAATGGTGCTAATTATGTCATAATTGTTTGTAAAGGTGTTAATCCCAGAAATACAATATGTTTCTTGACTTGAATGTACACCAACAGTGCTTTGAGAAATACCTCCCACAAATATAAGGATTCTAAAGCCCCAACACTTAATGTTTCAGGTGGTTCTCTTGAGCAAGGATTACAGCTTTTGCTGTGAAGTTTTAAGAGAGTCCAAGAATTTTATTTTATTTTCTCTTATCTGGTTATGTATTCGGAGTTTTAGGACTAACTTTCTTTCATTTATTTGGTTGCTGTCTTTTTTTTTTGTTTGTTTGTTTGTTTAAATAATAAAATTAAATTAAGGCTTTTTTTTCTTTTTGCTTCACTTGGTTAGGAAAATTTCAAGGCGTTTTTTTTCATTGTTTTGTTTCGCCCTGACAGCTGTTCTTCTAATTTGGCGCAATATAAATACAATTGAATTTATTAGGTATCTTATAGAAATGAAAACATATTTGGGGTCAAAGCACTTAAAAGCCACATTTATATAGTGCTTCACTATATGCACGGTAAGTATTTTATCTAACTCATAGCCACTGCGAGTTCCGTAGGTTTGCCGTTATTTCGACCTATAATATTAAAGGTTTGTTCTTCGACGGCTTCGGCGCTTTGCTTTTATGAGGAAAAAGCAAAGCTCGTGCATCATGTGATACAGCTTTCTGCTCGAGCTCTGACCCATATTTCAAATAGATTTGCCTTCGTTTCCGACAGCCTTCAAAACGCATTAATGTTCAGCATAGTCGGCAGAGATGCACGAATTAGGCCCGTTACAGCGGAGCTCCTCGGCCTGGAAAAGAACACGCACAAAATCGCTTCCTGCGACATTCTTTAAACTTCTTTTCTTTCACTGTAGTTGGCTACAATTCGCCACTGTGAAGCCTTTAAATGCAGTTTTGCACCTTTCGTTTCTGGTAGTATTAAAATATTAACTGAACACACACGGAAAATAGACCGTGAAATACAATAAGATGATGAAATAAGCGATACGTGCTAATTGTTAAACAACAGAAAAATACTAAAAATAAACCATTTTTCCTTTTCCATTTTCTTGCTTAGGTGTTCTGTATATAAATGTGAACAGATCGAAACAGAGGCCTGGCACTTCACATGTAACTCCGTTACCGGCGGGGCGACTGATAATTAAAGCCACAGTTAAAAGACGATATGTTTCCTTCTTTATTTGGTGGTTAGCATAGTCGCATCACGACAAGAAGGTCCTGGGTTTGAATCCAGTCTGCAGCCTTTCTGTGTGGGGTTTGTTGTCCCCGTTTTGCGTGGGTCTCTCCGGGCTCTCCCTCCCACGGTTCAAACACATGTATGGGGGTATTTGAAATTGAAATTGGCCGTAGGTATTTTACTAGTGCTACAACAACAGATAGCTAATAATAATAATAATAATAATAATAATAATAATAATAATAATAATAATAATGGATCGATTTTTTTTAGCATTTATTAAACATGTATTAAGAGTTTGCTGCTCTTCGGTACAAAGCGCAGATAATCGGTGCAGGCTGACAGTGATAAACGAGCTGTTCGCTGCATTAATGTATTTATTTATTATTCCATATGTGCTTAATTTAATGATGTTGTCCTACTAATAATGGGTGTTATCACACACACACACATACACCCAGAGCAGCAGCCACAGTAGTCATATTGGAGTGAAAGCTGGAGCTTCCGCCTTGTTTCAGATTTTCTTGAAATCGCCCATCCATCATCTCTGCCGCCATCAATCGAATAATACGAGACAACTGCAATTTCGTCTCGTATCGAACCACAGATACGTGACCTGCTCCACGAACCGCTGCTGCGGCCTCAGCTGCTTTCTCCTTAGGCCCGCTGTTCAAGTAAAACACAAAGCTCTGCTCCGTGCTCGTTTTTTGCTTTCCTCCGTAAAGTCTTTATTTACTTTTAGTGCAGATTTGTTGTCCGTGATTTGGTGCTACAAAATGATTTTAAACATTGTCAGGAATTCAACTCACAACCATCATCTCATATTCCCTCATCCAGATCCTTCCATCCAGGAGTCTAAAAACTGTGAGATGTCAAACAGAAGAAAGAAATGCAGAAACAAACAATCACACAGTTTTCTTACAAAATCTTGCTTTTAGCTTGGCTACAAAACGTGTCAGTGAGAAGAGCTGCAGTCTAACGTCTAACAGATCACAAGCACGAATATGGACTGAAAGAGCCAAACAAAGAGCACAAATCTCTACAGCACAATCGAGTTCCCATCGTTTTAGAAACATATGGGTTTTTTTCTCATCAAGGTGTGTGTGTGTGTGTGTGTGTGTGTGTGTGTGTGCGCGCGCGCGTGTGCTTTTCGTTGTACAGTTTTTTTTAAAGAGGTGGTCAAAAGGTAGGGGTGTGTGTGTTGGGGAGGGTGGACAGGAAAAACAAAGAAGTCTGTCTTTGTAGAAAAATAAATAAATAATTTAAAATGAAACAGAGGATATGTTTGGTTCTTCCTCTCTATAGTCATTGCTCTTCTAATTTCCTGTGCAGACGCAAAGCTCCTCGGCTCACATCGAAAATCTGTGGGCTGAGTTGATGACACGTTTCCGTGGTGATCCTCCACAGGCGCACGCAGGACGTGGGAGTGGTACTGTCAGGTAGATGTACGGTCAGAAGTGTGACTTGTCAACTGATCTGTGCAGCCAGAAGGAGATCCCTGAGCCAACCATGAAGGCCTGGACACAAAGAAAGGAGATGAGTCCACAGCTGCTCTGACCCACAACATGTCCTGTCCCTGAAAAAAATACTTTCATCTAGATCTTGCTCTAAGACATGCCATAGAAACTGTCTCTTATCTGATCATATCCTAATAACATTTACATTTACAATGATAGATTATACAGCATTGGCGAGTAGACTTCATCACAGTAGATGTCTTTCTGAATGTTCTATAACTAAGTTTAAAGATATAATTCAATCTCTGTTATCATCTTCAATGCCCTGTACCAACACAGAGCAGAGCAGCTACCTGAACACTACTCCAACAGAGGATGACTATCTTGTTGATAATTTTACCTCATCACTACGTATGACTCTGGATACTGTAGCTTCTGTGAAACAGAGAGCCTCAAATCAAAATTACTTGACTCCCCGGTATAATTTTCAAACATGCATCTTAAAGCAGATAACTCGTAAGCTGGAGAGGAAATGGCGTATCACAAATTTAGAAGATCATCATTTAGCCTGGAGAAATAGTTTGTTGCTTTATAAGAAAGCCCTCCGTAAAGCTAGAACATCTTACTACTCATCACTGATTGAAGGAAATAAGAACAACCCTAGGTTTCTCTTTGGCACTGTAGCCAGGGCTGACAAAAAGTCAGGGCACTGTTGAGCCAACCATTCCTTTAACATTAACCAGTAATGACTTCATGAACTTCTTCACAAATAAAATTTTAACCATTAGAGGAAAAGTTACTCATAACCATCTCACAGATGTAACATTATGTACGGCTACTTTCAGTACCAATTAGAAATTAGAAATATCCTGTCTCAGAGTGACGCTGAAAAACTAGTTGATGCATGTATTACTTCTAGGCTGGAGTACTGTAATTCATTATTGTCAGGATGTCCAAAAAACTCCCTGAAAAGCCTTCAGTTAATCCAAAATACTGCAGCAAGAGTTCTGACAGGGACTAGAAAGAAAGAGCAGATTTCTCCAATATTGGCTTCCCTTCATTGGCTCCCAGAATTGCATTAAAATCCTGCTCCTCACATACAAGGTCTTAAAAGATCAGGCCCCATCTTATTCTATTGACGTTACTGTACCATATCACCCCATTAGAGCACTCAGACTGCAGGCTTATTTGTGGTTCCTAGAGTATTTAAAAGTAGAATGGGAGGCAGAGCCTTCAGTTTTCAGGCCTCTCTTCTATGGAACCAGCTTCTGGTTTGGATTCTGGTTTTTGAATATTCTTCGATTTTGTGTTTTTCATGGTTTAGTCATTTGTGTTTCTTTCTTCTTTAGTTATTCTCTTTTTATATTTTGTGGTTTCTAGTTCTTCTAGGTTTCGCTACTCCTCTGTGGTCCATGTATTGTGTCAAGTTAATTATGTTCTGTTCCCCGGTTCCAGTGTCGCGTCCGTGTCTCAGCATGTTTCCTGTTTTATTATGATAGTCCCACATCTTGTGTTTAGTGTGTTCAGTTTTGCT